AATATGAGCTTTGAAGAATGTGGGGAAGTTCTGAAATTATTGTTTTAGAGTATGGGAAAGCCAGTTGGTTTGTGAGACATAGTACTTCGTTAGTGAACTTCAGTTTATACTGGAAGCAGTCTGCCCTGTTGTCTGCTTTGCTTTTTCAGACCATGACTGCTCTGATACAGGCATAGGTAAAGCAGGTAGTTGGGCTCATCCAGGATTAGGGCTTTGCAAGATGGACTTGAGGTTTTTGTTTTGTTTTGTCTTATTGTGATAATATACTTAACATAAATCCGCTATTGCAACCATTTCAAAGTGCATAACTCAGTAGCATTTAGTAAACTCACGGTGTTGTGCAATCTTTACAACTATGTAGTTCCAGAATGCCTTTATCACCTCAAAAGGAAACCTGTACCCATTTCTCATACCTTTATATACACTGGCAACCACTACTCTGCTATGTGTGTCTATGGGTTTGCCTGTGAGTGGACTCATACAGTAGGGGCCTTTTGTGTCTTCTTTAAGCATATTTTTTTCAAGGTTCATCCATATTGTAGCATTTACCAGTACTTCATTTTTTATAACTGAATAATCCATATGGATTATTACCAAATTTTGTATGTGCGAATACATACTAAATTTTGTTTATGCGTTCATGAGTTGATGGACATTTTGTTACCACATTTTAGCTATTGTGAATAGTGCTACTATAAACATGAAAAATATGAAATACTTCACAAATTTGAGTGTTATCTCTGTGTAGGGGCCATGTTAAACTTTTGTTCACAGTTCCAATTTGAGAATTTGTGCTGCCAAAGTGAGCCATAGAAGTTTAAAAAAAATTTTTTTTAAGGTAGAAGTTATTTGTGAGAATGTTTTTAACTGGTGGACTATGAAATCAAAACTGGATGATGATAAGGAAAGTAGAGAAAGTAAGAGGAGCCATGGACTCCATTGGGGAGGGCGTCTTGATTATCAGAGTGGTCATGGTGGAAGTCGTTGGAAAAGCAAGCTGTATCTTACTTAATGGGGAAATTAGAGGTATTCCCAGTGAGGTCAGAAACAGGACAAGATGCCCATTATTGTCTGCCTCTATTTAACATTGTACTGTAGTTTTTAACCAATTTAGTTAGATAGGAGAAGACAATGACAACTACCAGAATTGGAAAAGAGGTTAAACTATCTTATTTGGAGATAATATAATACATAATGGTAAATTAAAGAATATTGAAACTGAAGAATTCAGCAAGGCAGCAGGATATAAGATTAACCTATAGTAATCAACAGCCTTCATATGCACAGATAACAGCCACTAGAAAACATAATAGAAGAGAAAGTCCCATTTCTAACTGGGGAAAAAAAAAAAAAAATAGCCTGGGAATAAACTTGTAAGAAATGTGCAAAAACCTGTGTGGAGAACATTATAAAACACTCCTGAAAAACAAAATAAACTTGAGCTAATAAAAAGATATTATTCTTAGATAAGGCATCTCAAAGTCATCAAGTTGTCAGATTTTCATGAGCTAATTTATAAATTTAATGCAATCTCAATAAAAATACAACACTTTTCTAGAGCTAGACAAAGTGATAGAAAAGTTCAGATAGAAAAATTAGCACACAAAAATTGCTAGGAAATACTGAAAGAGAAGAGCTACAAGGTGGGAACTGGCCCTATTAGATATCAAAACATACAACAAAGCCTATATAATTAAAGCAATTGGTAAAACATAAGGAATACACACACACACACACACACACACACACACACACACACACACACACACACACAGTAACCAGTCAAAAGACCAGTGTCAAATTGAAAGAGAATATTTGCGACAAATATCACAAATAGAAGTGATAAAGAACTTTTTAAAATTGAAGGTGGGAGACAAATTATATAGAAAAATGAGCTATTGACATGAATAGGCAAATTGCAAAAGAAACACAAACTTGGACCAGAACTTGTGAAAAAATGTTCTACTGTATTTTTTTAAATAAGAGATGCAAATTAAAGCAGTACTAAAATGCCCTTTCTACCTGTTTGAATAGGAAAATTTTCCTTTTTTTTTTTCTCTAATTTTTCTAATTCAGTACACTATTAGTAAAGATAATCTCATATGCTGGTGGCAATGCAAATCATTTTGGCAGTATTTAACCAAACTATATATGCAGTTAGACTTTAACCAAGAATTCTAGGAATTTACCTTCAAGATATACCTACATATGAAGATACAAAGGTAGAAATGCATAAGGTTACTTGATGTAACATTGTTTGTAATTGCAAAATATTGGCAACAACTCAACTCCCAAACCTAGTGAGTCGATTATTTGAGCACACATACACACACACATACACAACGGAATACCGTGCTGTTGTAAAGAAGAATAAGGAAGATACCTATGAACTGATATAAAGTGTTTTCCAAGATATAATCTTAAGTAAAAAAAATCAAAGTGCAAAATACAAAGTGTATTACTTTTTGTGTAAAAAAGGAGAAGGTAATTGGAAAATACATGTATCCGGCTTATTTTTGCAAAGGAAACACTGAAGGATAAACCAGAAAACATTGGGATTCCGGGGAGAATGGAATGGGAGGGGATAGAAGAATGAGTGACAGAGACTTTCTCCAGCCAAGTCTCAGATGTTCTAAGCATACAAATAAATAAGAATAGTGATGGATTGTAACTCATTAAATAATGTAAGAATCTATGAGTCCACACTAATAAATAAGAAGGTAAAATTCTTCCTTCCAGTAGAATGTCGACTAATGTAAAAGGAATTTTGGAATTAGCAAATTACCAATTGACAGTCATCATAAGTCTGATAATAATTATTGATGGATGCTAAATCTGAGGATGGAAAGTTTAATAAAAATTGAAATATTAACATAATTTTAAAGTATCACTTTTAGGTTACTTATTAATTACAAAAGGAAAAATAATAGCTATGTAGTGATCAAAATGTCACCCAATAAGGGACAAGCAGATATTGTGTACCTTTAAAAGGACACAACATTTGTCAAAGATGGTACAACCTGAATTTAATCATGAGGGGAAAATCTGACAAATTCAAATGGAGGGACATTCTATAATTACTACCCTATATTAAACCAGTGTCAATGACATGGAAGATAAATCAATGCTGAGGAACTGTTTGAGATTAAAGACACATGTTATGATAACTAAATGCAGCAAATGATCCTGGATTACCTGGAGGGTAGGGGGAGGAATAGCCACAAAGAACATTATTAAGACAGTTGGTTAAATTAGAATATGGACTATGGATTAATATAGATAAACATATTGTGTCAGTGTTCAATTTCCTGAGTTTGATAACTATACTGTAGTTATATAAGAAAATGTACTTAGGAAATACACACAGAAGCATAAAGGAATGAAGGGATATAATGTAAACAGTGATCTCTAAAATGATCCTGAGGATATAAATATGGTTATAATAATCTGGTTAAGTCTGGGAAGAGTATACAGGAACTCTTTGTACTAGCAGCTTTTCTGTGTATTTGAAATTATTTCACAAAGAAAATTAAAGGAAGCAAGCTGGACAGCTGTGGCCCAAGCATAGAATGCTTGAATTAGTAAATTTAAATCTTGAGGTCCTTGACTAGTGTTGCAGGAGGAGGACACCAGCCCATAGCTGGGTTTTCAGCAAACGTCTATAAAAAAAAACTGAAGTTATGAATGACTTCTCATGGTTATCCTTTTCCTTTCTCTTATAGGACATCGGGGACACATTGAGCAGGTACAGTTTTCTCTCTCCCCAGTATTAAATTTAACATAGGAAAACAGTCTCCCTTATAAATCCCAAAAGGAACGCAGACCCTGAGATGGACATTTTACCAGATGGACACATACCCTGTCTATCCTTGAACAGAATCACTAGTGTGCAAAGAAATTAGATGGACCACAGCTCTTCTCATTAAAACTCAGGAATTATTGACAGATTATAAAAGTGAGGGGGTGGAGTAGGGGGCTCACTTGGCAAGGTGCTGGTGGTTTGTGAGGACTCTTCCATAGGGAGGTGGAGACTTACAGGGACTTGGGCAAGGGGCACTAGTATCTTATGGGTGCTACTTCCTAAGCATTTCAGAATCTTTTCTCTCTTATTCGGACCCCCGCCCCTCGCCCGCCACCCACCTTTGTTTTCCTCTAATAGGGAAAACATGGCTTAAGAAAGGTATGACAGGCTTAGTTATGTAATTAGTGATAACTACTTGGATTCTGGCTCTTACTCGTTATTTCTTTGCTGTATCATTAGATGGAAAGTGAAGAAGAAAGAGCTCCCTGGGTGTTGGGACATGACTGAGCAGGGAGAGCTGAGTGGGCAAGAAGCCAAGGCGAAGTTGTGTTTGCAGGCAGATGGTGACGGCAAACCAGATAGGCCTTGGGAATGTAAATGTTTGGTGGAGTACCTATAGGGGTGGAAACTGACTCTGAAGGAGCAGAACTTTGAATCTGATTAAAATCCTGAATGGTGAAAACCTCCAGAGGAAATGTAGCTTGATTATGTGAAAGCATTTGAGGAGATGGGGGAGGGCCTCATAGATTCAGTAGGTTGGCTCAGAGAGCTATGTGGATAGAATCATGCTGATAAAATTGAGTTTCTCAAAGGCCCCTAGGATAGAGATAAGTCGGTACTCGGTAACTGTCCCAGACAGATGACCAGAGCAAATACTGCCTTTCTTGATGCCAGTTTAGTTCTGACCTAAGATAGAGAGATAGATCCCTTAGATCTAGCACTTTGTGACATTAAAGTTTGGGTTTGGCTATATGAGCTAGGAAACCCAAAATTTCATTGGCTTAAGGCCTAAACATAATAAAATATTTTGTCACCATGTACGCTATGTGCCCAGGGCTGGTATGGTGCTTCCAGTGATCATCAGACTCAGGTTTCTTTCTATTCACTCTTCTGCCATCCCTAAGGTATGATCCTCATTCTTATAGTCCAAGATAGTTAGTTGCTAGAATGCCAACCAGCAGGAGGGAGATATGTCACATCACATTTCTTTTTAAGTAGACATCTTAAATTACCACAAGATACTTCTTATCTTTCGTTGGCCAGAACTCTTGTCACAGGGTCACTCCTAGACTGGGTAACCGTGAATCTAGTAAAGTTTGGAAGATAAGAGAAGGGATAATTGTGGGTATCCCTGCAACTAGCAATCTGTCTTTGCTATAGACCCCTTGAAGGGCGTGGGTGATTGGGTATTGTCCTGAGAGTACTATCTGTCTGAAGATGTCGTTCTCACCATGTTTGTGAACCTGAGGATTCTAGGTCATTGCCCACCATGAAATTAAGGACTTTGTTATGGAATCTAGTGCTTTCTGGCTTTAAATTCAATTTTAATTAAGTAAACTTTTTTGAGAACATGCCATTTGAAAAGCCATGAGCTATGTGCTTTGAGGGACAAAAAAATGAGTAAAGTGTTTCCCCTTTTCTGGTCTGGAGGATCATAGTCTAGGAAGAAAATATGGGAAAGGCTGTAGTGATTGCTTTTAAAGACTTTTGATTTCTGTTAGCCAATTTAGCCCAGACCCTGTCCTGTCCCTTGAAAGTCATAGAGTTGGGGAAAGGGTTCATTTTTTTTTTTTTTAAACTTAGGGCTGAAAGAATCAGGATCCCTGAACCTTGGATTACACCTCCAGATCTGCAAGAGAAAATACATATTTTTGCCCAAAAATGTCTGTTCATGACTGAAAGTCTGAAGCAGTTCACAGGTAATGTGAAAAGAGGGCTCTGAGGGGAAAGGGATTTATGCTCTAAATATCTGCATATTGCCTGGATACATTTCCCAACCAGATAGTGGGATGCAAACTGAATATCTTCTTTTCTCCCCTTAGAAAAAATGCAGTCAGATATGGAGAAAATCCAAGGTAAATTTATCTACTTTTAATGGGCTTTCGAAGTTGAAGTTTCCTGGGAAGATGAACATCTGCATTAAACGTGTGGGAAAATGGGAAAGGGGTGGCACCCATTTGCTAGCCTTCCGTGGTATTTTACACCTTCCTTTTGCTTTGTTCATTTTTTTCAATTCATAGCCTCTTGTTTTAATTTGAAGTCTTAACTCTGTGCACTCAGTTCTCAATCTAAATTGATGGAGGAGAAGAATAGGCAATTCAAAAATTAATCCAGAATTAGTGTGATTGTTTTTATTTTTTAATTGCGAAAGAGTGAACAGAAACTATCCTAGCTGTGTTTCACTTGGATCAGTATTTATAGTTATAATTCACTGAGTTCCTACAGCTCGTGGGCATAGTGCTGATCAGTACAGGAGAAATTGAGCAGCACTGACTGAGGTGGAACCTTGGGGGAAGTGGTTAGGAGCAGAGATTCGGGAATGAGAATGTCTGGGTCCCGGGCCTACCTCTGCCTTAATAAGGATTCTGCACCATACAGGCATAGCTTAGAGATATTGAAGGTTTGATTCCAGACCACCACAGTAAAGTGAATTTTGTAGTAAAGCGAGTCACATGAATTTTTTAGTTCCCCAGTGCATATAAAAGTTGTGTTTACACTATAATGTAGTTATTAAGTGTGCAATAACATTATGTCTAAGAAAAACAATGTATATACCTTAATTTAAAAATACTTTATTCCTAAAAGATACTAACCATCATCTGAGCCTTCAATGAGTCATAATCTTTTTCCTGGTATAGGGTCTTGCCTTCAGTTAGTAAAAAAAACAGTGTCTACAAAAAAAAAAAAAAAAGGTACATCTGTAATTTCTTCATCTGTAAAATGAGGAAAATGATAGTTCTTACCTCACAAAGTTATAAGTATTAGGTGCCATTTCTAAAGTCTTTAAAATGGAGCCTGACTCATAATAAACCTAATATTTATGTTTATTAAATAAAGTGTTCTAGGTATTAAAGGAAATCTTTTTTAATTATAAATTTTCTCCACAGAAAAGGTACATCTGTAATTTCTTCATCTGTAAAATGAGGAAAATGATAGTTCTTACCTCACAAAGTTATAAGTATTAGGTGCCATTTCTAAAGTCTTTAAAATGGAGCCTGACTCATAATAAACCTAATATTTATGTTTATTAAATAAAGTGTTCTAGGTATTAAAGGAAATCTTTTTTAATTATAAATTTTCTCCACAGTCAATTGAGAGCCAGCTATATACTAAATGCTAAAATTCCTAGGTAGTCTTGTGGAATCTGAAATCGTTTCATGTAGGTAAACCCTTTTCTTATTTTTTGCAAATTGTATTTCCTTATAATCTCTGATAATTTCCCATGTTATGTATGCTGAATCCTCATTAGCATCGTACTATTCAAATACATACTTTTTTTTGTATCTACTAACATAGGTATAGGGGACACTCACACGTCCATAAGCAAAACAAATGAGAAATTCCACTTAATACAATGGATAATACCAGAAGCCATTAGTTCAGATATGACCTTCATTCTGTTCTTTTCTTGCCATTTAAAAGGCTTACCGTGAACATATCTGTGTAAATGCTTTGTCAACTCTAAAGTGCCTTTTAAGTGAATGGTCTTGTTTGCCCCACCATGGTAGTGGATGTCACTCGAACCACCTAGACCCTAGAACAGAGGTGGCTTATGAAAGCTAAGAGTTGTGTGTGATATGAACTTACAACCATGTTTCCCCCTAGCAGAACCAGCTTGCACATTGGAGGGTGGAGTACTTGATCTTGGCTCGGTTTGACCCAATAGGCTACCAATACCAGGCATGTGGTTATTCTTCTACCCAAAGTTCCCAGTCTCTCTTCCTTCAAAGCTTTTGGTTGGGTGATAGAGTCATATATTGTATGAAGAAATCGGTGCATGACCGACAACCAGGGTTCTGGTGTTTCTAATGGAGACCACTGCCTTATGATGTCTCTAACCAAAGCTCCCTCAGTTGAGTATTTCCTGGAAATACTTATATGACTTCCATAACTTCTTTTCTCTTTTGATTTTTCAGAATTAAGAGAGGCTCAATTATATTCAGGTAGGTGATAGGAGAAAAACTATACAGAGAAAGTAGTAAAACTCTTTTTGGACTTAACCACTATTATGAATGATTTAAGAAACTGCCTAATTTGGGATCTTTTAGGTTACATGTGTAAAAATGATAAACAACAATCATTAAAAAGCTATTGTTTGTTTCTATATGGGTACAATATTTTTGCCTCCTAAAATGCTTCAAGAGCTAAAGCCATGGGCCTTTGAAATAGGAAGAAGTCAAGCTCAGGAGCTGTGAAGAATTGTGGAGTGGAAACTACTGTTCCCAAAAAGTAGAACACTGTTAGTACTTTGTATACTGCTCTGCCTGTCCATCCTCTGGTCAATGTATGGTTTGTAAAAAGCAGCCATCTTTCAAGAAAGAGTGATTGACTTCAACTCATTCTGAGTGCTAGGAAAAGTTTAGGAATCTTGTGTCATCCTGTCTCTGTGCCTTGGGGCAGGAGTCGAAATTCTCCCTCTCCTTGATCATCTCCTTTACCTAAGGTTCAGAGAGACTGGGTAAATCTCTGTTCCCAGAGGTTCACAAATCTTAGATGTGTACTTTCCATAGTCACATGGCCACCTTCTACACATGACATAGGACTCCACAAACGACAGGTCTTTCATTGGTGTTCACTGGCTATGATCCATATTCTTTCAACAGAGATTAATACCTTGTTTATGTCCTACGGTAACATTGTGCAGAGTACTATAGAGGGAACAAAAGAGCATAAGATACTGTCCTGTCCTTGGGTTTTAGTGTCTGGTTAGAGGTGTGAGGTATACCTGTGACATGAGAAAGAGGTGGGTGACCTTTGTGGACAGATTGTTGAACCAAGAACTGACCATCTGGGGTTCTTGGTCACTTCTACTAGTTGCCTTTCATAAACTTTTATGGGATTCCTGTAGCCCCCACCTGAGCTTTGGTTTAGAGGGATGTTTGGGAATCTTCTTCCTAAACAAGATGTGAAGAGCAAATAAGAGAATATGTATCAGTGCTTTTAAAGCAGGAAAGATCCACATGATTGCAAAATGCTGTAATACTAAATACCAGAATGTGTTACACAGGCAATACACAGTTTTAGATTTAAGAGAGGGGAAGTGAATGTAAATGGCCTGGCCTGCTTAAAGTCAACTTTTTGAGGAAGATGTGGATTGTACATTGAGCATTAGAAGATGAATAGGATTTAATGTGCTGAGTAAAGATCTCATGGAATGGAGGATATAAAAGAGTGAATTGGAAGGTGGGCAGATTGTTACAGGTTCCCAGTCTCTCTCCACAATTCCAAAATTCTGAATTTATGTGGCAAATTCAGATGGATATTGTGGTTTAAGGTGTGAAAGAAGGGAATGGAGGTAAAATCTCAGTATTTTCAATATATCCTGATTTAAAAAGGTAATCAGCTAATCCAAACTGATTTTATTGAATGTTAAATTCAGGATATATTTCATCATAAGATAAATGCAGCCTATACTGGGGAGCTCTTACTCTCTTCTCAGGCAGGTAGGAAAAAAAGCTGGGTATTCTATAGTGGGCTCTCCTGGCCTTCAGCTGACTGTCACCTTGCCCTCTGTCTCTGCAGTGGATGTGACTCTGGACCCAGACACAGCCTATCCCAGCCTAATCCTCTCCGATAATCTTCGGCAAGTGCGGTACAGTTACCTCCAGCAGGACCTGCCTGACAACCCTGAGC